ATTAATGCTAATGCAACAGTCCAGCATCATTTTGTGTCTGCTATTACAGCCCTTGGAATACCTGTCTCCATAAAGACCGATAATGGGCCAGCCTATACATCCAAATGGATGGCCAACTTTTTTCATTTGTGGAGGATATGTCATGTCACGGGTATTCCACATTCCCCTACAGATCAAGCCATTGTGGAATGGGCCCACAGCACTCTCAAGTCCGTGATGGTAAAACAAAAAAGAGGGAGTGTGGGAATGGGATATACCTCCCACAAAAGACTGCAGAAAGCCCTATATGTTGTCAATTTTTTGAATTGCATTCAGAACAACCAAAATCCCATCCAACAATGTTTTGGTGAATCACAGGCTCAATTAGAAAAAGCTAAGGTACTTGTTAGGAATCTTGAAAGTGAAAAAAGGGAAGGCCCCTTCCCACTGATAACCTGGGGGTGAGGATATGCTTGTGTTTCCACCGATTCCAGACCAAGATGGGTACCTGCAAGAGTAGTCCGACCAGCCTTGGATACCCCAGCTTCATAATCATCTTGTGGGGAAGATAACGCTTCTGAAGTCATGTTTCTAACTGATATTAATAAAGTTTTTAGGCAATTTTGTAGGTATTTTAGGGAAACCATCTCGGTCAAGGCTTGAGGCTCTGGCCAAGCCCTAGCCCAGGCTGACTGGGGATTATGCCATCAGACCCAGGTGTTTCTGCCCTAAAAGTGTAATCAAGTCACTTTGACTTGCTAATCTGATCTTATAAAAGCTGGACCCCCTTTCAAGGTAAACTTGGAAGTCCTCCCCAGGAAAGGCTCTCTGAGTCTTCACTGTGAAATGGGACTCTCCAGCAATTGCAGAGTCTGGGTGATGGTAAAGTTTTTAGACAATTTTAAGTTGTTTTTCAAGGTTCTATCTGTTTAATCACTGTCTCCATTCATGGGAAGGAGATGTGTGTGGTTACCAGTTATTGGGTGTTTTCATTAATCCCCTTATTCATAGGAAAGATACTGCTTTTGTGAGGAATTGAGCTTGTTTGGTTTAGACAGTGGGCCAAACATATTCTAATGTTAGAAGTGTTTTGTTTTATGATTCCTGTTTGAATAAAACATAAAAGAGGGAGTTGTAGGAAGAGGTGGGATGGAATTGAGCTGAAGGCTGTGGGATGCATCTGCAGAAGCACATGGCAACACAGAGAGGCTTGTCTCTGTCTGACATTGAGGGGGAAGGAGGTGTCACGTGGCAGACCCCTACAGAGAGAAGCCTGCTGGAAGCTGACTGACAGGTGAACAGCACATGATCACGCCACAGAAGGACATTTAGAACATGTGTTGCTGATGTGGTAAAATGGGATAGGTCACATAGTGAGAATTACCATGTAAGGAAATACTGTGCACTGAAAAAGTGTATAAAACCAGCTTGTTTCTTTGAATAAACGATTCAGATTCCCTGCCAGTCTGAATCTGTGCCTCAGTCTCTCACACCTGCCCTGCCTGGCTGTGAGCCAACAGCATCCCTGCCAGCTGTGGCCATAACTACACCAAAGGGGAAAGTGCTTGACAGCAAACAGAAGGCTGTTATTTGGTTTCTGGGTTTTTCTGTTTGTTGTTGCTGTTGTTTGTTTGCCTTGTTATACATATACATTCGACTCAAGAACTGTTATTCCTTTTCCCATATATTTGACTGAAAGCCCCGTAATTTTAAAGTTATAATTTGGAGGCAAGGGGGTTATATTTTCTATTCCAAGGGAGGTTCTGGCCTACCTTAGCAGACAGCTGTCTTTCAAACCAAGACAGGCTGGAACTGAGTTTTCTTTTGGTTCCAGACCTGCCATGAAAACATAATCCTGGCCAGTCTAGGAGCTCACCTCTCACTCTGGACAGGAGGGATGGTCGTTGATTGTCACTTAGGATGACATTGGGCTTGGCAATTTCAATAGGACTGATAAAGCCACTTGTTTATTTACAACTAAAGCCACAAAAAGACTTAATATGAGACAACAATCCTGTATCTGTATACTCCCTGCTGCCTGCTGGGCTCTTCCAGGGCAGGTTAAGGGATGCAGCCCCCTTCTAGCCCCAGGAGCACATCCAGAGAAGACATTTGAAGCAGACACATTGCGGGCTGCTTTGCAGAAAACCTGCAGCAGGCAGGGTGGGAACATCTTTGCCATAGAATAGTCTCTAGCCTTGTGGTTAAGGAGAAGCTTTGAAACCTCTCAAGGGAAGAAAATTGAAAATGGGTCTCCTGTGTCTTGGTAGTGTGCTGTGGCCACCATGCTGTTGGGTTAAGATCGGCACTGTCCCTTTTTACCATGAGGAGATGGTAGAAACCTTTACTGCCCTTGATGCCTTTTTCTCTGGTTCTAGAAATATGAGCCAGACACAGGGTGATAAAAAGGGGTTAGCTTTATATAAGGATCCTTAGGTGCACAATTCGTCAGGTGGAAAATGCTGAAGATGCATACCCCGCATGATACATGTAAAATTTTCATAGATTTTGCAAATTAGCATCTGAAAAGAGTCCCCAATTAGAAGCACACTTGGTGAAGTCATGCCCCCCAGCTCTAGCACCTTCTAAGTCCTCTCCCCTCAGATGAGGACTAAACTGTTTATAAAAAAATATGTCTGAAGAGCTGCTCTCAGCCTTGGTTTCTAATGAGAAATGAAATAGCATAGGGATCCTGGAATTAGTTTTGTCTTTCTGCCTAGGAAAATACTGAAGCTAAGTTACAATAATAGGCTACAGAGAGAGAAATATATGTGTAAAGAATACAGAGAATATAGAAAGAAAAAAAAGGCAAAACTCAAGACGGCACCACCCTTGTGATGAGCCCTTTACAGAAGGATGCTACAGGCAGAAGCTTCAAGAACACAAAGTAGAGGAACAGTTCAGGTCTGAACAGCGTTGGATCTTTGCATTCAATGCCTGCTAAAAGACTCAGGTCTTCCTGGGCATGCACAGCACAGCCTGTGGAATTGAGATTCCAGTGGAATTAGGAGGTGGCTGCCTCCTACACAGTTTTCAGGAACATGATTTTGGACTTACATGCCTATATTTTCTGCTTAAGATACAAAAGTTCTTTTCTAGTCAGCTCATACAAGCTAAATATCCAAGGCAACTGGTGCACTAGGGGAATAATCCGGGTAAATCTCAAGAAAGGTGAATGCTCAGCTGACTCAGTCCTCATCTCAGCACCAGATATGTGCTAGGCTGCCTCTGAGAGCAGTTGTTAACCTCCCAACAAAGCTGAAAACATGCATCTCATTTCCTGATACTATCAGCAGAAGCTCCCACCTTTATGCTTCCTCCACTGCAAGCCCTCAGCAGCTGAGTGTAAACAGTTCCTTGTGTTGGGGAAGCAGAATTAAGTAACAAAAAATGTGCCATTTGCTTTGGACTTAATTGATGAACACAATGACCAGGTAATAATTCCCACCATCTGTCAACTACTTATGTTTCACACCTCTATTCCAGCTTTCTCTGAATGTTTTATTGTTTCTGTGATCTGCTGCTAACAAGAAGCTGCATGTGAAGGTACTTCCCATGAAAAGGCCCCTATCCTCCACTGGCAGTACATGTAATTTGTAGAAAGCTTTCCCTTGAAAGCAAAGGCACATTTTAAGGCAGATAAATAAGACAGCTGCAGCCACAATTAGAGCTCTACAGTTTCCAGCCATGTAAATATTTGCCATAGTTCAGATATTTTCTTTTTTCCATCTGGGTGAAATTCTAGCTTCAGAGCTATGGGAGATTTTAGCCCTAAACAAGAGATTCAAAAATAGCCTCCTGCTCAAAGCATTTATACAGACAGTAAGGCATATTTCTAAACACAGAGTTAAATCCAGACTCTCGTGCCAGGGAGGTGCCTGGACTACTGGCTACTTGGGAAGTAATTTCCCTTTTTCTTCCCACTCTGTCAATTTTTTCTTTATGAGCCTTTTGCTGGAGCTGGGTTCCACTTTCAGGAAACATTGTGGTTTTATTGAACCACTGCTTTGTCAGATTTCCCAGGCAGTTCTAATTGCAAACGCTGCCTAAAATGGAAAAAAAAAAAAAAAAACAAAAAACCCAAAGCTTTTTACTTTAACAAGTAATTGAAATTTTTTTATAATGGTGCACTAAATACCAGTTTTGATTTATAAACATGAATCTCTTCGGTCTCGTCTCCTGGAAATCTGTTAAACTATGTTCTTCACTATTCTCATCCTAAACTGCCATCTAGCTGCAGCCCTTGGGCTTGCTCCTGAGTCTGGTTTCGGCTGATTTCAAATCTGCAAACAACAGTGACCTTGAGCTGAGAGGGAACAGACCGTGTGAACCGCGCACAGACACGAGGACGCTGGCTGATGCGCACACATGTTTTACTTCCGAACCTCGGGCTCGCACATGGGCATATGCCGTCCTGACCGGTCCCTCACCCCTCCCGTCGCCGCGCCTTTACCGACAGTCTCTCCGAGTCTCTTCGCTCTGCGAGGCGCGGCGCAGCACCTCCGCGGCGCTCCCTGGCCGAAATTTCGCCAGGATTCTCGCGAGAGCAGGCGGCTCTAGATGCTCGCGACGCCACCTACATTTCCTCTTCCCTACCGCTGTCTGGAGGTGAGGACTTAGGGCCGTTAGTGAGCCGTCTTAATCCGCCTCCATCCTGCTCAGGGCGCCCTGGAGAGGCGATGAGGGGGTGAGGTCTTGAAGTCTCGGTCTGCCTCAATATATTTGACCCTTGTTATTTGCAGGGCTGGCGCGGGGGAGGACGGGTAGGGGTTGGAGATAGTGAGCTTGGGGGTAGCTGTCTGGTGTGAGGTGGAAACAGGCCCTAGGGAGAGGCTATGGCAGTAGTGATGACTTTTTTAGGACACCTTTGGATTAAATTGTGATATGACAGTGTAATTCCTGAGCAGCTCCTGTAGTTAGTTATCGGCAGTAAGGTAAACAATCCAGGTTCTGCTTATCAGTGTTAGAAGCTTTGTTATGGGGGGGTTTAATTGCTTGTTTTTTGCAGCTGAGATCCAAAAATGGTGCGCTACTCTCTGGATCCAGACAATCCCACGAAATGTGAGTTGTTTTCATGAATATTCGAGTAGAACTTGACCAAAGCAATTGAGATTTTAAATCTTGAAGTTCATCTTTTTTTTCTTCTGCAGCATGCAAATCACGGGGATCCAACCTGCGAGTGCATTTCAAGGTAGGCAGTGTGTGCATAGTAAGAAATGCAATTTCATTTGGTTTTGGTTTGGTTTTGTTATATTTTGTTGGGCATTTTTTGGAGGAAGTGCCTCCTATTCTGTGTCATTACATGGTTACTTTAGGGTGGTGTAGTGTAGGTTATGGCCTGTATTTGCTTTACCTGCTTGTAATGGTTTTCATCCACAGGATCAAAAATAAGATAACATGTCCGAAAGAGTTTTCCCTCTAATACAGATAATAAAATACACTAGGAAAGCAGTTACAGTGAATTTACCAGGAGGAATGGGGCTAGAGTGAGATGTGACATTTGTTTCATTTGTCTTACTCTGCCTTTCTGGTTGTTTGGAAGGAACATTGGATTCACCTGCTTATGCTGCTGCTCAAGAAGTATGGCAGGGGAGGCATGCGATGTTTGGCATGAGGGCATAGGTCCCTCTGGAAAAAGTTTAGGTGTGGCAGTAAATCCAGGACACGTTTGAGCTAACCATGAAACCAAGCCTGAGCATATGCTTTTCTGCTCCATAGTGGTACATAATTCATGTGAAAAGATATTTCAGTTGTCTTGATTTGCTTTTTTACTATGATCAGGTAGGCTTATAGTTACTCTCTGACCTGCATTTAATGTCTTAAGCACTAATACTTTACCTTTAATTTTTCTTTCGTTTCTCCCCTTTATAATTCACTTACAGAGATATTTAGATTGTTTCTATCTTGTGTTCTCATCACTTCCTCTGAGGTGCCATATCTGACATTTTAGTAGGAATTCATCCTTCAGGCTCCTGCTTCTTTGGATTAGTGACCAAGGAGGAGCTATGAAAAGTATAACTACTCAAATTTTTTTGTTGGTTGGAAAGATCTAGGCATTAGGTAAAAAACAATCAAGATGTGTTAGAGCTGCAAATTCAGTAATGGCAGTCACACCAAGGGTTAGAAAAGTAGGTATCAAAAAAAAAAAGTCTTCTTAATTATTCTTCATTCTTAATTTAGGCGTGGAGCTTTTGTATGTGTGTGAGTGCTTCCTTTAAATTGAGTTTGTAGCAAAAATAATAGGATCCAGGACAGAGGAGTGGTTTTGCTCACATTGTAACTTGTACAGATGTGTTAACAACTTCACTGTACTCTATATTGCTAGAACACTCGAGAAACTGCCCAGGCCATCAAGGGCATGCACATCCGCAAGGCCACCAAGTACTTAAAGGACATCACCTTGAAGAAGCAATGTGTTCCCTTCCAGCGCTACAACGGGGGAGTTGGTAGATGCGCCCAGGTGAGGCTCAAGATAAAAATGTGAGAAGGATGCTGTGTCTGGTTAAGAGGAAAAGATGAATTTGAGATGGTATGGAGAATAGTGTGTCACTGTTGATTATAACTTTGTATTAAAATACAGAATCATAGGATGTTTTGGGTTGGAAGGGACCTTAAAGATCATCTAATTCCAGCCCCCCTGCCATGGGCAGGGGCACCTTCCACTAGACCAGGTTGCTCAAGAGGGAGAAAAGAGTTGCTTTTAATTCCAGTACAGCATTGCATCTACTTGCAGTGTCAAGTAATTGATCAAATTTAATTGTTTTGGTATGCAATCTTTATAGAAGGGGATGTAATGGCAAGTTAATGGTGCCTGAAGGGTAAATTTTATTGTACTGGGACAAAAAGGGATGAATTGTTGTCTTCTTCCAGGCCAAGCAGTGGGGCTGGACGCAGGGACGCTGGCCCAAGAAGAGTGCAGAGTTCTTGCTGCACATGCTCAAAAATGCAGAGAGCAATGCTGAGCTCAAGGTAGGCTGTGTCAGTACTAGTGAATGCAAAGTGTTCATGTTGTGCTGTGTGTCAGCACTCCTGAACTGGGTGTCTCTGACATGGAAAGCCAGGTAATGCCTGCTTTGTCAATGAAACTGAATTGTATCAAGGTGTTGGTATACTCTTTGTTTGAATTAGGCTGTGTGCGTTTTTCAAGTTAAAATGGGAGTAATAATTTTTCACTGGGAGATAGTTTGCATGTGGTTATCAACTGTTTAAGTGGTGTTTAAGTCTCCTAAAAACTACAAAACAAAGCAAAACGTGAACTCTTGGTCAGTTTGTATCTTTGTAATATACTTAGTGCTTAATTTAGTAATTTTGATGGCAGTGGTGACTGTCTTAGGACACCTTTGGAGTAACTGTGAAATAATAATTGTCTCTTTCTGAGCCACTGGCATAATTTTAAATAAATTGTGATGTGTAGAGGGGAGGTCTCTGTTTTTCTGACTTTGGAGCTTGCTCAGTTCTGTGACACTGCAGAATTCAGGTGTTTTATTTGCCAGCAGTGGTATGTGTCTGGGGAGGGGGCATGATTATTCAGAATTTTGCTGTGGAGACTATTTATTTGAAGATAAAAAACAAGTCACAAGTTCTATTCCTCTCCCTGCTAGGGTCTTGATGTGGATTCTCTGGTCATTGAGCACATCCAGGTCAACAAGGCTCCCAAAATGCGCCGACGCACCTACAGAGCACATGGTAGGATCAACCCCTACATGAGCTCCCCCTGCCATATCGAGATGATCCTCACTGAGAAGGAGCAGATCGTTCCCAAGCCAGAGGAGGAAGTTGCTCAAAAGAAAAAGGTAGAGCATCATACCCTTAAGTCCTCTTTAATGTCAGCAGCAGGAGAGCTGAGTGTTCATACTTGGCATTTTTCAGGCAGAAGGGTTGCTGCGATGACTATCTTAGAACACCTTTGGAATACCTATGAAAAAACCTACTAAGTTCTTTTTGAGCAACCTCGATATTTATTGTGAACACCACATGGATAACTGCAGAAAATGATTTTCAGGGGTTTATATAGTACAGGGAGTTTGTTCTTCCCTTCCTCAGTCCATGTGTGTGAAACTGGGATGTGCCGCAATAAAATTTAAATTGCGAGCCTGTAAGCAATGTAGTACTTGTAGGGAGAACAGTTCTCAGTACCTTCAAAAGATAACTGTAAATTTATTTGTAACATGTTTTGAGAAGGTGTTTTCTCATTTTGCCATTTTCTCATTTCTGTGTTTGTTTTTCAGATATCCCAGAAGAAGCTGAAGAAGCAAAAGCTAATGGCCCGGGATTAAATCTGCTCTGCCAGATGTACATAAATAAAATGAGAAAGTTTAGATTTATCCTGTGTGTTTCTCTGTTTTGGCTTCAGAAGGGTGCTGCTGTGGGACAGCCACAGGCAGCTGAGCACAGTAGTCGGGATGCTTGTTGTTGCAACGCTGGGGATGTTGTTGACTTACCGCTATTATTCATATATAAAGCGAGATAATTTGGAACACACGCAGGCATTCACTTTTCTTGCCCCACTGTCCTGGCGCGTTCGGGGCGCCTGATGGTGGCTGCAGCCGGAACGCGGTTGCTAGCGGCTACCGCCGGGCGCTAATGCGGCTCCTGGGGGCGGGGCGTCGGCCACGTGACGCGAACGCCGCCTTCTCCTATTGGCCGCGAGTGAGTCGGAAGCGTGGGATTACTTCCGGTGTGGTAGAGGAAGCTGTGAGTGTTGGTAGAAGCGCTGGATTGGTGCCGACGGAGGTGAGTGTGGGGCGACCTCCCCCAGGGTCCTTTCGTGATCTGCCGTTTCTCTATCTCGGCTGGGGTCTGCCCTTCTATGGGCCCAGAGCGGCTCCGTTAACCGGGAGCGGACGAACCCCGAAATGTGATAGCCTATGTTAAGGTGTGGAGCTCTTCGGTTTCAACACGTGTTTGAGTGGAACTTCACCGATTCGGAAAAATATTTGTGCTCCCGGCTTTAATTCAGCGGGAGAGGGAAACGCCACCGCAGGGGATTTTTTTGTTTTTGTGTTTTTTTTTTTTTGTTTTTTTGGTTTTTTTGTGCGTTTTTGGTTTTTTTCTTGCTAATCAAGGAACAGAGCATCACCGAATCACAAATGAAACTTGTAAACGGTATTTCACTCCATTAGGACAGGTGTTATACTTCCAATGGCTTGCTTTTACATCTGGCAGAGGTACGACTTATTTTTTGGTCTGAAATCTTCACAGAAACTGGCTGCAGAGACACGTACAGCTGGCTCAGAAGGCCAGCCTGGGGTGTTCCCTCCAGCCACGTTCTTTAGCTGGTGGACAAATTCACAAGATATTGCTGTAAATTTTGTATCTAGGAAGTTCTGGCAGAGAAAGTGTCTGAATTATCTTTTTGAATCGTTTTAAAGGATTAACTCATTTGTGTTCTTTTGACTGACGATTTCTCTCTGACTTCATAAAGTAGATCCTGTAAAACTATATTTGAAGCAGCCAAAGCTACACTCTGAAGTAGTCAACTGAAAATTGATATTTTGTTCTTCCACAGGGCTAAAAATCTTTAGGAAAGCTCAAAAAAAAGTTAAACTGATCCCAGATGAAGTGTGCACATCTGTCTTCATTCTCCATCTTGGAAAGCTTTTGTTTTGAATTCAGATAGCAGCCTAGAAAGGTGGAATGTAAAGGGCAGAGTTGCTGCTGTGCAGCAGAGTGTATATATTGCTCAGCAGTGATATATATAATACAATACAATATATATTGCTCATCAGCACTGAGAGGGACAGCTCTAATCCTACTTAACTGCTTCCTCTCCCAGTTGAACTTTTCTGCTCCTGTGCTTTGGTTTTCCCCTTTTTTTCATCACAGACTTTAGGCTCCTGTTTTTGAAGAGTTCCTCCTGGTTTGGGGAGAGAGGGAAGGATTAATTTTCTAATCATTTGTCCAGTTGTATGGGATTGGTGTTGGATCAAGTGATTCCTCTTGCACAGGAGGAAGTAACCCATATTTTGCTTCTCTCAAATCTTGACTGGGATTCTCTTCCCCTCCCACTGACTTGCCCTTCAGTGATAGTCAGCCATTGGGTAGATTGGAGTCCTGCTGTCTAATTTCACCTTAAATAAAAAGGGAATATGAAAAGCAAACCTTTTGGAGCCACTGTTATAATATAGTAAGAACCGGGCTAATATCTGCAGCTTGCTGCTTAAACTGTTTTTGTGTGGTTTAAGCAAAAACCTTTATTTTCTGAATTTGTTTTTCAGAGTTGCAGCTGTAGAACTGATGAATTAATAGCAAGCTCTTTTTTTGTTAAAATATCAAGAATGTTTTCCTTGTTGAGAACTTTATAAAATTGAAACACACAGCATTTTTGAAACATTAACAGCTAGTCTATAATTTAAGAATCTTTTATGTTTGGATATCAACTAAAATCTTTCTTCATTTTTTAAAGACACTTTTTTTAGCTCATGGCATACAAACAGTCATCCTAAGTTATTTTGGTTTTTTTCCTCACCAGCTTTGTCACAGAACAAGAGGAAGCTATGGTGTGTATTCCTTGCATTGTCATTCTGGTCCTCCTCTGGGTCTACAAGAAATTCCTGGAACCCTATATCTATCCCATTATTGCACCTTTAATTAAGCATGTGTGGCCCAAGAAAGCTGTGCAAGAAACAATAGCCACAAAACAAGGTCAAGGAGGCAGCAGTGGAAATCCACAGGCACCTTCAGCCACGAAAAGAGATCAGGAAGATGAATCTGGTATTTATAAAGTAAGATTAATGCATTTAGCTAACCAGGGAAACTGCAGATAAAGTACCCAGCCATAGTTAAGTGGGAGCACAGCAAAAGAGTAAATTGTTGCATGTTTTTAGACATTTTTGTGGCTATTTTCTTATGAAAGGGAGTTGCTGGTACTGAGCCAACTAGAAATATTTACTTCAAGACAGCTTCTGGTAGGTCTTGGAAAGATAGGAATTGCACCTGTTTTCTGAAACAGCTTAGTTAATTTTTTTTAATGACTGGCTGTTCTTTCAGAGAATAAAAAAGAGAAGAAAAAAGTTTAATAATTGGCACATTACACCAGATACATGAAGCAGAATTTAAAAAACCCCAAAATACACTCTTTAGCCACCTCTGCCTCTTGTAATGGAGGAAAATGTTTAGTGCATCTAAATTGTGCTTTTATTATTTATCTCCTCTATCAAAATGCAAAGATTTATATATCTTGACTTTGCCTTCGTTCCCCTCCTGAAGTAATAACTATTTGTAAAGCTAAAGGGACACCAACACTTTGGGTTTTGCTGCAGATTTCATAGATCACTGACCCTGCTTCTAAAAGTCATTTTCATCACCAGCTGTCACTGTTCGGCATGTGAAGTCCTTTTTTAACATCCCATTTATCATGCTGTCTTTTATTTGCAGTTTGAAAGCAATGGTGTTGCAATTGGAATTGCCACAAAGAGGTACACAAAAGTTTGTAACAAGAAAATGGATTAAAAGAATTCAATCCTAAGGATTTTATTCCTTTGTGTCCAATATGAACTGGTGGTATTTCTCCTCTCGTGCTGAGACTTTTCTTCTTTGTCTGTTTTAGCTGAATAAAACCCCTTATCACTAAACGACGGCTAGCACATTAATTTAAAATGTTTGAAAAATCAAGTTCTTCTATTTTTCTCACTGGAACTGCTTTTCATCTATCGTCTATTTGGTGTGATTAGAGTTTATGTTTAATAACTTATGAATAAATCTAGCTTGGAAAGGTAAATGTATCTTAGCATCCTAATTTAATTAACTGCTAGTGTAATCTTTCAGGCTTTCACCTTAAAAGCTATGGCAGTTCTTGACCTTGCTTAAGAATTATGGATTGCATTGTGGTGACAGAAGTGTCACATTTAAATTATGAAGAGTTTAGATTTTTCATGTCAAATCTGGGGATGAGCTAAAGGAGTTACGCTATATGTAAAATTAACTTACTAAAAGCAGAAAGTCTTGATATCATACTTCCATTAATAATTTTCCTGGAAATATTGTGCCTTTCTTTCCTGAAGCAAAGCAGCAGAGGCATGATGCAAGAGAATTGTTGCTTTATATTGTGTTGCAGTGGTTTAGAATGTTGCAGACCTGTCTTTCATAAAAACCCCACCCTCCAACTAAAATCTCTTTAACATGCTTGAGGAATTTGAATTATAATAAACCAGGATTTTATTTAAAAATAAGTTGCTTCATAAAATTGTCCTTAGGCTTCTGAGCTATAAATATATAAAGTGGTAACAAAGTTTTTGAAAACCTGGAGACAGGCCCCAGGCAGAAGGAGACCATAAAACTACTGACTTCATAATAAAGACCAGCTTTGCCTCCTCCTGAGAAGATGCATTCTGCTACTGACCTGCATTCCACTTGTGAAACATTTTAGATGTCCCTGTGTTTAGTAAGGAATAAAAATTAATTCCTGCTTTGTCCTCTCTGCCAAAACAGAGTGCTCTTTAAAAGATTCAAAATCAAAACCATTTCAGTAGTTTTGGATTGTTATTTAAGATTTATTTTCCCTAAAATCCTACCTAAGATATGTATTAAAAGGCTATGCTATTTTCCCATTGTTTTTGATCTCTGTATCATTGGATATTTTGCCCACATTGTTGCAACAAATTGTACCTTTATCAATGAGAACTTCACCTGGTAAAAGGTAGGTGTAATCTTTGCTGGTGTGGATTGGGTTTTCTAAACCAATCAACCCCCATCTCACCCTAAACAATAAGTTCCTCTGCTACCACTAGTCTCACAGTTTATGCTCTAAATCTGAAAACTGGGAACTTTCTAAGGGTCTGGAATCACCTTGCAATGAGAAAGGAATAAACTGCCTGAGAAAGTCACTCCCATGTATTTCAAATGGCTGTAGAAATGGAGATTGATGGCAAGTGTGCAGCTGGACAGAAATACGTGTTCTGACATTGTGAGGATATCTGAAAAGATTGTCCCTTCTGCTGTGCTTCCTGTCCCTGGGCAGGTAACCTCAGCCGCTGTTTTAAAATGTTGGGCATCTCATAAACAGGCCTAAATTTTAGAGTATGTTCACCCCTAACAGATGTGAGCACAACAAAAAGTAGAGCAAGAGCTCTACCAGGGCTCCTTCAATTTGTAAATGTATGCAGTCATTTTAGAAAGTGTACATAATTCATTGAGTTATTTGGGATATTATACGAGGAAGTACAACAGACTAACATGGGAAAATAAAGTGTATAGTAAATTAGACTGTAGGGTGAACTCAGTTTCTAGCAGTGTGCCAGCCAGCACTGTAAACACCAGGCCTACTGAAAAGACTGCA